GCAACGGAGTAATTTTAATCTAATGAAGTTTTGCGAATGCAATCAGATATGAGACAATTTTACAATGAAAGTGGTCTATTTTGCAAATAATTCAGGCTTGCTCCGCTATATAAAATTCTAAAAATTGCTTCTACTCTATCACTTTAGTTAATCGTAGCAACTTCTGCAGCTTGATATAGTTGAAAAATATCTTTTACTTAACGTGAAAACTAGGGCTAGAAAAGAAGTCTGCGATTCTGTGCTCTTGTTTTAAAGTTAGATTCTATACAATGAAAGACAACAGAAATTAATGTACTTTTGTTCTTCGCTATTAATCAGTGAAAGTCAGAGTTTTTGAGATATACATGAAATAATGGATACAATATCTATTTTTACCAACAGTTCATTTAATAAATGTCGTTCCTGTGGCTTTGCAAAGGAGACGATCCGCCAAGTGACCTGCCCTATTGTTTCATCGGAACTGCTGCAGCAAGATGAAGTGATAACACTCTTTACAAATTGGTTGGAACGGGCATTAGTGAGAACCTTATCGAGTTTTAGCCAGATCAAGATCTGCATTTTGCGAAAGGAATCAAAAATCGCATCTTTCCGATTTAGACTAGCCTGTAGGCAACGAATCTTATATGTAATTCATCCACAGAAAATTCTACTTAATTTTTAAGGCTCATGTCGACACCATGTTGTGAATATGTTCAAGCTAACAGAGATTATTATTCCATCATTACTTTCACGAAAAAAGATTAAATTCACAAGTTTTCTATTAGATTTTTCATCTTTATCTTCCATGGTCTCTTTTCCTTTCGGGTCCGGAAACAAACGCGTCCGACATTTCTTACCACGTCACCGATGTTTTGCCATAGTCTGAGATTCGGGAGAAGAAAACTGGAGTCTGGAGCAGACTCCTTCCATATATTCGCACCAGGTTAATCTTGGCCGTCTCCTGTGCCTTCTGGACATCGGTTTCGCAAGAACCAGTTGCTTAGCCTTCCTTTCTGTAGACGTTCGCAATACATGCCACCGCAGCTGTGACTTCTCATTCTGAAGAAGCAGAGGCTGTATTCCAAGGCTCTTCCGGA